ACCTAGATATTTTAAATGCAAACATTACTATCCGAGAAATAAACATTAAACTTATGATAACATTTATTTTTTTAAAATTTGTTTTTCCCCCCCACCATCATGACCATTTTAGGTCTCAGTGGTAGTGATAGGTGGGATAGTGGGAGGAATATTGAGCGGAAAAGTGAACTTTGGAGGAAAAGTGAACGCATTGAGGAATCCAACAAATCAAGAGGATACAGAGGACATCGGGAATATAATACAATCTCCTTATACAACTGACAGCAGTAAGTTTTTTGTGTTTTTTTTCCCACAAAATTAGCCCAGTACAGATTTTCTCGTCTAAATATTCAGAACAAACTAGGACCAATATATAAATGTATATCATGTATTAATCCCAGGAACACAATTATTTGTCTATTTAATTTTTACTAAAAAGTGAAACGGCAACTAAACGCACACAACACACCAATTAAAATCTTCGTTAAATAACATTCAAAAAAGAAATGTATGTACAATGTAACAAAGAAGATATTTGTTAACAGTTACACAGAAGTGTTAAATTTTCATCTCTCTTTTTTATTTGTAGGTATAAATAAATGCCTTTACATTACATCTGAAGGTGAGTTCTGTTTTAGGGGAATTTTTGGTAGATATGCAGACAAGATAACTCAAAAGATGTACTTATTTCTTGTTCACATAAAGGAAAATTAAGACTCAAGATAGAATAAACAACGGACAAGATTTATTTATTAGTTGTAGTTGACTCAGAACTTGCATTCAGTAACTGTGAGTTCTTTTTTCGGTGCGTTGTGTGTCTTGTTTTTATGTTAGTGGTATTTGTGCCTCGTACCTATCTTTTGAGTTAAGCCAATTGCAAATGGTTTTTACAGTTTGTTTATATTTTCTGCTGTTACAAAAAATCCTGTTTCAGATGAGAGAGCGCTCACAAACATGTTTGACCCCGCCACATTCTGTATGTGTCTATCCCTATTCAGGAGCTTGTAGTATAGTGGTTGTTGTTGGTTTATGTCTGTCATAATTTTGATTTTCGTAAATTGCTTTGTTATAAATTAAGCCATCGTTTAAATTGTTTCACATTTTTCATGTCGTGGCCCTTTCAAAGCTGACTATAGGTATTGGAATTTTCTCATGGTTGACGGTGAGCTATAATAGCTTTCTAACACCTCATTTGGTCTCTGGGAGATAGTTGGATCGTTGGCAATCATACCACATCTCCTCATTGTTATATCTAACATGCTACTGAAGAAGTTTCTTAATGAGAAAGCATAAATAGAGACAGAATACAAGTATGCGGAGTGGATAATGAAAATATAAACATTATTGAAGAAAAACAAACAATTTCATTCATGCCAAAATAGAAAAGTGAAGAAAAGACAAATTACTTATTTTTTTCTTTTTTCGAGTAAAAATGATAAACATTTGACTCAGTACAGCAGGAAACAGATAAAACATTAAATGACATATTGACACAACTTGGAAACTGTGCACAAGCAAGTGGATTCAAAGTATCACTGACATGTAATAAAGGCAGACTATAAATATTTGACAAAATTGTTTAAAATTTCAGATTTTCTGACAAAACTGTTAAGTGAACCATTTGCATATGGAGAAGTATGTACAATAGGTAAGTATTATAATTTAGATTGGTCTACCATATAATTAGATATTTAGAAATGCTTGTATTATAACTAATGAACTATCACATTTAATGATTGTATTTCACATAAATGAAATTTAGTTCAACCATGGTCATTAAGTTTAAAAATAAAAATAAATATTAGGCCATTGATTTTGTGTATCAACATTCATATCGAACTGTTATTCCATATTTTGTAGGATCAGAATTCGTTAAAACAACATGTAGTATTGGTAAAGAGAAATCGGAAAGTAAGTAATTAACATATAAAGTAACTGTCGTGTATAATTTTGGTATACCAACGTCACTTCAGGATAAGTTTAGGAAAGGCAAATAAAGGCAACAGTAGTATACCGCTGTTCGAAACTCATAAATCGATAGAGATAAAAACAAATCCGGGTTACAAACTAAAACTGAGAGAAACGCATCAAATATAAGAGGAGAACAACGACACAACAAAAACACAACATTAAAATGTAACACACACAGAAACGAACTATAATATAACAATGGCCATTTTCCTGACTTGGTACAGGACATTTTTAAAAAAAAATGGTGGGTTGAACCTGGTTTTGTGGCATGCCAAACCTCCCGCTTTAATGGCAACGTCAAACACAACAATATATCGTATAAATTTCGTTGAACCAAACTAAAATCTAATAAATGAAGGGGGTGATTAATTATCTTTACCATAACACACGAATATACCAGAAAAGACGTTTAGACATTTGACAAAATCCGACGAGAATAACAAATATAACATCAAAATTAAATACATGAATTTGGGATAGAAAGGTACCGTGACACGTCTTATAGCAATGCGGTTTCACACTCAGCAAAACAGTCACAATCGGGAATAAGTCACGTTCGGTAATTAAAAGATCAGACGACGTAATGACAAACCACAATCTAACACGTGGTAAAAATGTCCTTAGTTAGTATGGACAAAGACACATCGTATGGACTAACCAATTCGTGATGATGTCCGTGCTTTTTCTTTTTGTCTTTTAGAAGGTTCTGAATGAATTCTGCTTCATACGAGTACAAAAACAAATCGGCCAGTAGGGGTGCACAATTAGTTCCCATTGGAATACCGACTGTCTGTTGAATATAAATCCTCCAAACTCAACAAATATAGTATCCAACAAAAAGTCCAGCATTTTGATAATATCATCTTCAGTATATTTTCTGGTAGATTCAGTGTGGTTTTTCACAAAATATGAATTATTGTAACCCAAAACAAGAAATGTGTATCTACGATTCCCATTTTTATAGAAAAAGCTCTGTTTAATGAGATGGTGAAGTCGATCTTTCAACTGAGCATGGGGAATAGTAGTGTAAAGCGTATATTTCAGAACCCCATTTTTTCAAATCTTTATTTTTTTGGCCTATTTTTCTATTCTTTATATTATTTTTGTTGGCCTATTTTTCTCTATTCTTTATATTTTTGCCCTTTATTCTGCACTGCTACCCATTATTCTGTATTATGTAACTCCTATTCAGACCCTCATAGGACACCATGCACAGCTTGCTATATCTTACGTCCATGTTCAGTGAAATTTTAAATAGGGATCAAAAACATTTTGTCATAACTTTAGAAAGTTCACTTTACAATGAACATATCTCTAGAAAGTTCACTTCACAATACACATGTGTACTAATTTTCAAGTTGATATGACCACACCTTTGTGGTGAACTACACCAGAGGAATATGGGACATCTCGTCCTGGAGACAACTCGGACCGGGTCAACTCGGACCGTCAATAGTTCAACTCAGATGATCTATGAAGTCAACTTGGATCGTCTTTGAAGTCAAATCAGACAGTCTATAATGTCAGTTCAAACAAAGAATAAGAAGAGAGTTTGGACTATTTAAATAAGTTTTAAATGTTCATGATGTTAACTTTACTCTAAATTAACGGTTTAATAGATACAAAAAAAACCCTCAAAGTGTTTTACCTCTTTATAAGATATATGCTTTCAATATGCATCTTCAAATCAATAAAAAAAATATAACACCAGCCTATAAGACGATCTTGAGTACCCCATGCACTTTTTTATCAAGTCCCATTAAGGATAACATGTGTTGCAAGTAGTTCCAATAGAATCCCGTTTAACTGAACAAAAGGTAGTTTCCCATTAAGGTGTGATCACATCAACTTGAAATGTTGTATGTTTTTCAAAGTTAATAAAAGAATGAAAGATACTTGTTTTAAGACGTACCAGTATTACAAAAACTATTGAACGTTTCTATGCTGCCATCTTAATTAGTACACTATAGCTATATATCATCGAGACCTGAATGGTCAGTTAACCTTGTTAGTTGATCTGGCGTTGTACTATTTACCTTGTCAAACTTACAGTCAATTTATCCTGTTTGTTGATCTGGTATTGTGTCATTTACCTTGTTGAGCTTGAGGTCAGTATGTCCTGTTTGTTGATCTGGCATTGTGCCATTTACCTTGTCGAACTTCAGGTCAGTTTATCCTGTTAGTTGATCTGGCATTGTGTCATTTACCTTGTCGAACTGTAGGCAAGTTTGTCCTGTTTGTTGATCTGGTATTGTGCCATTTACCTTGTCGAACTTTAGGTCAATTTATCCTCTCGGTTCATCTGGCATTGTGACATTTACCTTGTCGAACTTGAGGTCAGTTGTTACGGTGAAAAAGTAAAACGCAAAGTGCATTGACATTAAACCCTGTTACCATAACAATATTTGTATTTGTTTTTAGTTTTAACACTTTTCGTTTATTTATCTGACAGTTAATATTTAATATAATTGTAACTGAGATGTACCGCTTCGTTAGTCCAGTGGTACCGAGATAATATAGAAAACAGCTACATATATATATCCTTACGTGCTGGAGATTGTTTTTCGATCCACGGGCAGGTCAAACTAAAGACTTAGTATTTGCTATACACGCGGCTTTAAAATTATATGTCCGGGTCAAGTGACATATATTCGCGGACTGTCGCCCTGTGAATTATCACTCGAAAAAAACCCAGAGATCAGAGTTTACGTCCAGTACAAGGCCAGGATAACATAAACATGTTCTCATCCTGATATGCATGCAATAGTTGTCATTGGATGTGTATAAATCTAAAATATTGGACAATGCTACAGACCCCATTTTCTATAGATGCTCAAACCTTGCGACTACACTTGGCTTGTAATAAAATACCCCAAGAATTATATTTTTTATTCATTTATGCTACGAAAAATAAATAAATAATATCATAAATTCAATCAATTTGATCTTATAAATATTACATTATTCACATTTTTATTTAGTCACTTGAGTGTTTTTTTACCCAATATATCTAAACAAGGTATTTATTGTCGTTAAAATAAATGTTTTGATCGAAATATATATGGAAATGTAGTTAAATATAACAGGGTGGCAGGGATTTGAGGAAAGTGGGGCAAAAACCATAGTATTTTCGAAAACAATTGACCAGTTTTATGCCATAAGTTGACTTTTTCAAATTTCTAATCTTTGATTAGATTGATCTCAATATCTAATAATCATACATGCGATGACAAGAACATATTTTTAACAATTACATTTATTCTTATCATCATTTATGCAAGAGTAAATGTTTGATTAATATACAATATATACCACTATTCATATTGTGTTTTACACCCACATACTAACAAAGGGAAAATGCAATATGAACTACTTTTTGAATATCTTTGAAACTATTTATAACCAAATAATTGTGTATTTCGTTTAGGTAGTCATGCGTGCGAGAAATGTACGGATGGAAGCATTCTTCCATCGTTTTGCTTCTGTGACAAGAAAGTTCACTGTGTCAAAGATAAAGAATTGGGAAGTCGAGCAGCCGATGACTCTAAAAAAATTTGTAAGTGATTATATTATACTTTTTTTTAAGTAAAAACATATCAAGACATAGTAATGTTTCCAGTCATTCATACAAAAAGTACCATTACATGTCTCGTCAATATATACTATTTAATATTTTAGCAGTTCTGTGTTATTAGACTATCATAATTGTACTAATTAAATATACTAACCATTCTGAAAATATTAACAGTTAGACTGTTATAATTGTATACATATATACTTAAACATTATACAAAAGTGTAACAACAAGACTGTTGTAATTGTATACCTGAATATATTCAACTATTTTGAAAAAAGAATCAATCAGACAACTAGAATTGTACATATTTTCATACTAAACGAACTGAGTGTTACCCTTTTTTCCAATGTTGGTGCATCACACCACTTTCCTTGTTAGCTGAGGTTTGAGGGCTCACAAATATGTTAATCCCAAATTAATGAGTCTATAATTCAGTGGTAGTAGTTGGTAGCTGTTTGTCAGATATGTTAAGGGTTTATTGTTTTGCTATGATTTAAGCTGGTGATTTGTTTCTTTTTAATTGTTTCACATTTGTTTACTCTTTGTACATATAGGTAATTGGTGTGCTGATGTTTTCGACACTCAATTTAAAAACCGAGGCAATGCGATTTGCCCTAGTCACTCTCAAGATCTGTTGAAAAGTACTTGTAATGAAGGTTATGATGGCTTCATGTGTAATGTCATAACAAAACGTGTATGCACCTTAAAATTTGAACAGCCTAACTTACAGGAATGCAACAGGTCAAATTTAGAGGAATGCTTCCTGAAATCAATATGGCCTGGAACATATTACTATTGCCAACATTTCACGGGTAAGAAAACTTTAATGGTACATTTGGTTTTAGATTTAAAATTTATTGTGGGCAAGTATGTTACGTTGCGTTTACTAGCCCTTAAATTGCAACTAAAGGAAAAACTTTCAAACTTTTCAAAATTATGTTAGTTTTATAAATGATGAAATAGGATGAACTGAAGTTCTGAGAAAGAAACATAAGTTAAATTATATTTTAAAATGTGTATGATTAGTGTCAAAAAGGACAAAGAACTTCATATTTGCCTTTTCTCTTTCATTTCCATATAACAGATTCCAATATCAAAGAAAGAAGTTTCCTAGAAGTTTGTAAATGAATGCTACCCCATGACCGAAGAAAGGTAAACAAATGAACAATTATTCCAAATAGATTTATATTTCAGTTGTCTATTGGTTATTCCGCCAATCAAATAATAAGATTTTACTTAATACAGACATTTATTCCCTTTGAATTTTAAGATGAAGATTAAAGATGTTGATATTTCAAACAATTATCTAGGTCTCAGTTAATAAATGTCTTGGGATTTTTTTGTGACATACACATTTCTGAAAAATGAAATAAACGATGCGTAAAGTGGAGAAATGAACTTCTTTTATTTGTGTATTAAGGTATTTGCGTTGAGAAAAATCAAGGCATTGCCTTTTCAGGAAAAAAGTTATATAGCACTCTTTCTTTTTTTTTTTTTTTTTTGCAGGTAGAAAATTAGATTGAGTTAGGCTTCATCCAAGAAGTTAAAATGAACAATTTCAAGGAGAAACCACTTTTTGCTCTCGATTAAACATCGTCTAGTTGATAATTGACATCACCCCTAGATATATATTCCGCAGACAGAGATGCAATGAATTCTTGAGGAGTGAGAACCAGTAGAATGGCCAGTCACCTATAGTAGTACATTAATTTCTTTGATTTTTGGCATTTTTTTCCTTCAAATTTATATACAATTTGCAGACTTAAAGAGTTTAAAAGTATACCCGGTATTGTTAGATATTCCATCTAGGTCTGTGTGTGGTCCGTTTGTGTTAGACATCAAGTCAATGTATAACTTATCATTGGCAGATAGTTTAGGATTATTTAAACCAATAATACTAGTTGATCTGTACAGTTCCTATATGGCAAGTGTTTCACATTTGTGCAATTAAACATTGAAAAAGCAGCCTGTTTTCATCGAATCTATGCATTTATCATAACACTGCTACATAAAATCAAACAATGTCAACTGAAATATTACAAATAAACTTTTTTTTTAGATAAGAGATTTGAAAAAAAACATGTTTAGTAACCAGTTAGACACACAGTAAAATTAAAGTTAACTCCTCCATTAGATACAATTCCTTAATAATATATAATGCTCAGACTTAGATTTAGTATGATTTTCAAAAACCAATACAAATGACGTAGAAATAAACAACTACATATCACCGTACGACTTTCATCAATGAGCAATTCCTATACCACAAACCAAGAAATAAAAGGCCCGAAATGGAAAATGTGAAAAAATTCAAACGAGAAAAATTAACGGCCTGATTTATGAACAAAACATTAAACGAACAACAAATATGATGTACAGCAACAAACGACTCCAGAATTACAGTCTATTGACTTTGGACAGGGGAACATACAGAATGCGGCGGGGTTAAAAATGTTTGCGGACTTCCTTTAATAATAAATTCACCCAAATCGATCTAAAAATACAGGCTTTATAAAAATTTAAGATGTGCTATCCCGTTTGTAATGATTTTTCTACAGCTGCAGCCAAACTTTCAAAAATAACTTTTTGTTTCTTTGAAATAATTTAGTAAAGGTTGTAAGTAATTTGTGGTAACGAAATCCTTGCGTAAGTAATTTACCAGTAATACATAGATTACGTTCATTGAAATTCAAAACGTCACTACAGACACGGGCTTTATGTATGCTTAACATTTTATTGAATTCATTGTTGTATTGACAGATAGATTCTAATTAAAACTTTTTGTTATATTCCCTCTGTGTTATGTAATCAGTTACAACTTCACATAAATTGAGATCTTACCTATTGATTTGAACCATGACAGTCTAATTTTAAAGTATATAGTTAAAGAGTAGTTGTTATAATATTTGTCTCGCCTTGACGGAGTCAAAAAGCGAGACATAGGTATACAGTTTCCGGCATCGGCGGCGGCGGCGTCAACAATACATTAGTTTGTGATTAGGTCTAGTTTATAGTGAACCACTAGTGGTAGGTCAGTGATATTTGGCATGAAGTTGTATTATCATTGGCACATCTCATTTCACTGGAGATAATTTGGCCCCGCACTTCAGTAATGGTCTATTGACTTTGAAAATTTTGCCTAGTTTACATGTATTAGTTTGTGATTATGTCAGGTTAAGGGGGAGTATTAGTGGTAGGCAAATGTTAATTGGTATGCAGTTGTATAAGCAGTTGTATAAGCATTAGCGAATCTCATTTCCATAGAGAATATTTGGCCCTGCCCCCTCAGTCATGGTCTATTGACTTTGAAACTTTCAGTTTAAGATAAACCACTAATGTTAAATAAATGATATTTTGCATGCAAATCAAATGTATTTGCACTTTGCAAGTCTGGAAATTATATACCCCCAACACCTTATCATGGTTCATTGACTTTGAAACTTTTATGTTTGTCTTTAAGTTTATTTAAAGGGAACGACTTATGATAAGTCAACGGTATTTGGTATGCAGTTGTATTAGCATTGGCATATAGATTGTTCATAGACAGTGAATATTTGCATAACTTACAGTTTTTATATAGATTAGACCGTTGGTTTTCCCGTTTGAATGGTTTTACACTAGTAATTTGCTGTTCGGTGTGAGCCAATGCTCCGTGTTGAAGGCCGTACCTTGACCTATAATGGTTTACTTTTATAAATTGTTACTTGGATGGAGAGTTGTCTCATTGGCACTCATACCACATCTTCCTATATCTATGTTAAAGTATTGCTGTTTTAATTTCAACATTTGCATTATCCAAATAACAAAAATTACAAAAAAGCGAGACATATCTCTGTGTTAACAGTTAATTTTAATTTATTCATCATGTCAATAATTTGGTCAAATTGCTCAAAATATATTAGATTAGCTGTCTATCTATTGATATCAGAAGTCCAAAACAAGGAAAATAGTCTTTTTTGTCTATAATTTAACCTTTTAATTTCATCTCAGGAAACTATGATAATCAATATGTGGTACAGCTGTTTAACAAATGTATTGTTTTTATTTATATAATCTTTATTGTTATGTATCTGTTATTTATTTGAGACAAGATAGGTCACTATGTAACAAGTGATAAATCTACGTCTATCTTACATATAATTGTGGGGGCCTCGGTGGCCGAGTGGTCTAAGTAGTCGAACTTTTATATCACTAGCCTGTCAACACTGAGGTTGTGCGTTCAAATCCCGCAAGGGACAGGTGCACTCGACTCCAGTCTTAATTGCCTAGGATTGTCAGTTTTCCTACCGAAGGTCGGTGGTTCTCTCCGGGCACTCCGTCTTCCTCCACCAATAAAAACTGACGGCCACAAAATAACACAATAGTGTTGAAAGTGGCGTTAAACACCAATCAATCAAAAATCAAATCATAATATTGTGTAATGGCATTTGTGCGTGTATATTAGAAGACAATTGGTTTCTGGACAATAACTTAAGTTTAAGTGTATGGATCTCTATGAAATTTTACCAAAAGGATCAATACCACAAAAGAAAGGTTAGGATTGATTTTGGGGGTGATGGTCCTAACCGTTTAGGTATATAGGAACCAAAAAAGGGCCCAAAACAAGCATTTTCCTAGTTTAAGGACAATTACTTTTGTATAAGTGTATTGATTGCTCTGAAATTGTACCACAAGGTTCAATACCACAAGTCGAAGGTTGGGATTCATTTTGGGGGTAATTGTCCAAACCGTTCAGGAATTAAGGGCCAAAAAGGGTCTAAAACAAGCATTTTTCTAGTTTTCAAAACAATAACTTGTGTTTAAGTGTATTGATGTCTCTTAAAATGTACCACATGTTACAAAAAAAAATTTTCTTCAAATGTTATTTTTTTTTAGAAAAGGGGGGGAGGGGGTGTCAATTTTTTTTCTTCAAGATTTAAGAAATTGTCAATTTTCCAAAGATGGGGGTCACAATTGCTCATTCTTTATATATAGTCTGAAAACAGATTTACTAAGTATTGCGTAACAGCACAGTGTATTGCACAAAAGCAAGAAATCTTCAATTGAATATAAATTCAAATCATATAACCAATCCAATTTTAAGTTCTTTGACTACATTTATTCTGTGTCAGAAACCTATAATGTGTCAAATATTAATTACAATCCAAATTCAGACCTGTATCAAGCTTGAATTTTGTGTTCATTTTTGTCCCAACTGTTCAGGGTTGGACCTCTGCGGTCGTATCCAGCTGCGCTTGGCGAAGCAGTTTATTACATATCAACGCCTTATTGTGTTTAGGCTTCTTTGTATGAATAAAATATTAAAAAAAAAACACATATGATGATGTGTTGGGTTTTAATGACATTCAATGGTTATGATCACTAAAAAATTTAGTCTCAGTCTAATGGTAGCTTTAATGGGGAGTCAGCTACAATCTAGACAACAAAAAAAAGATAACGATTCTATTTGTTTCAAGTATTAATAAAAGCGGTATTTTGAAATAATATTTCGTTATAAGCATTCGGGTTGTTCCAAATTTGTCAAAATAAGCTAAAAATCATCGCTGATATATTATTTACCTGCAAGTGAATAATTTACCCTCAATTAAATTGGTATTCATGGGACCTTCAATTTAACCCTTTAGCTGGAGATGGGTTACACATGTACTTTGCGTGTTCAGCTATTAAAAGGAAAAGAATGTCAACATTGAAAGTGAAACAAGGATGAACCATTTCGTTGACTGATTCGATCCTCACAAAATCATTCTCAAACAGGTTAAAACGACGATCAACATATTTTTGAAACAATAACACCAATTGCATGTGATCGTTATCTATCTATATTCATATTTATGTTTATATCGGGTTATATGACCGTCGGTTGTCTTCGGAGGTCATGTCGATGGTTAATTAGATGGCGTCTAGACTAAAATACACATGAAATACTGATACATATTATCGACTGCATGCATTGATAATTGTTTGTTTTAGACTTTTTGTAACTTTAATATACGTTTTAGTATGTAATGAAATAAATGTGAGTATTTGAGTCAAATTCGGTGAACATGAATTTGACAGCTAGCGACTCTTTCAGCGAGCATTGTAAGATCTCAATGTGCTTGTGCTGTTGTCGTTGATTTTATGTTTGTCATCTTTTGTCTATCAGTTCTAAGCTTGTTTGTGCTGATGTCGTGGGTTTTTATACGATCGCAAAAATTTTTGCGGTCGTATATTGGTATGACGTTGGCGTCGTCGTCGTCGTCGTTGTCATTGTCGTTGTCGTCGTCGTCCGGCGTCGTCGTCGTCGTCCGAAGACACATTGGTTTTCGCACTCTAACTTTAGTTTAAGTGAATGGATCTCTTTGAAATTTTACCATAAGGTTAAATACCACAAAAGGAAGGTTGTGATTGATTTTGGGGGTTATGGTACCAACAGTTATGGAATAAGGGGCCAAAAAGGGGCCAAAAATAAGCATTTTCTACTTTCCAGACAATAACTGATGAACGGTGTATGGATCTCTCTGAAATTATACTACAAGTTTCCATACCACAAAGGGATGGTTAAGATTTGCTTTGGGGGTTATGGCTCAAACCGTTCAGGAATTAGGGGCAAAAAAGGGGGAAAAACAAGGTTGTCCTGGTTAATGGACAAATACTTTAGTACAAAACATAATTTAAAGCAGTGTAAGGGAGATAAATCAAATA